CCTGTGGTCCCAGCTACTTGGGAGGCTGAGGCAGGAGACTCGCTTGAGCCCAGGAGTTGGAGGTTGCTGTGAGCTGTGAGGCCATGGCACTCTACCCAGGGGCTCAGCTTGAGGCTCTGTCTCAAAAAACAAAACAAACAAAAAAAAAACCTTCAGATTAATATGAGGGTACAAATGATTAAGTTACAATGTCGTTTGTTAGGTAAGGTCCCTGTTGTAGTTGTGTCCCATTCCCAAGAGGTGTGCCATATACCCTTACATTACGCCCATTAAATGGGAGTATACTCCCTCCCTTCTCCTTGAATTAACTGAGTTTTTCTCTTGTGTGGGTATGTACTAATATGTCTAATGGCTTCATGAATGCATTGGATTCTTGCTTTTCCATTCTTGTGATACTTTACTAAAGAGAATGTTCTCCAACTCCATCCAGGTCAACACAAAAGACGTAAAATCTCTATCTTTTTATGGCCGAGTAGTATTCCATGGTATACATTTATCAGTTTATTAATCCACTCATGGGTTGATGGTCACTTGGGTTGTCTCCACATCTTGGAGATTATAAACTGAGCTGAGATAAATAATCCTATGCAAATGTCCTTATGATAAAATGATCTTTTTTCTCCTAGGTAGATGCCTAGTAATGGGATTATGGGATCAAGTGGAAGGTCATTTTGAGTTCTTTGAGGATTAGCAACACTTTAATGTGTTAATTTCTTCTATGTTTCAAGGAATAAAAAAGAGGCTAAGAAAGTAGAGTGTCTTATTCTAGGGCTACACAGCAAACGGGCCACTCAGGTAGGAACTCAAAACCCCAAAGTATATGCTCTGAGTGCCCCTCAGAGTTCCTGAGAAGCTCTATTTAAAACATGGATCTTCCCCTAAGGTTTGCACATTTATATTTCTATCAGAAAACTATATCCTATTAACATATAGATGACTGGAAAATATGGCTATCTTAAAGTATTTCTATAGCCAACTGCGGTGATGCACACCCGAGGTCCCAGCTCCTGAGGAAGCTGAGGCAGGAAGACGGCTTGAACCCAATAGTGTCAGGTTGCAGTGAGCTGTGATCATACCACTGTGCCCCAGCCTGGACAGAAAAGGGAGACATTGTCTCTCAAAAAAATGAAAAGTAGGAAATGCTCTGGGGTGAGCCTGGGAAGGGGAGAAAACAAAAAAGTAAACTAAGGAGGTAAAGACAAAAGGACAAAAGGAGGTAAAAAGCAGGCTGGTGGCTGGTCAGGGCAAGGAGGAGAGGGTTCCCTTTAGGTAGCTGGGACAGGCCTTTTTGAGGAGAGGGTGTCTAGAGTGAAAGCACAAGGAGATAGCCCATTTCCCAAAAGAGCACACACAGTATAATTTGCCAAATTATAACAACCATTAAAAAAACCTAATATTTCTCTTTCTTTTTTTTTTTTTTTTCAGTTTTTGGCCAGGACAGGGTTTGAACCCACCACCTCCAGCATATGGGGCCGGCGCCCTACTACTTTGAGCCACAGGCACCGCCCAACTGCCTAATATTTCTAAATCACAGCAATCCTTCTTGATCTCTGGCAGAGCCAGTCTAAAGAAACTATCTTTATGAGGAAATTTCTAATGGGGCTTTCAAAGCAGTCATTATTGGAACACAAGCAAAGGACACTTCTGTGGCCAGAGTTGTATCACCACTTACTTGGGCCATATGCAGCAAGGCTGGCCAGGGTGGGTCCTTCAGCAGTCTTGACAGTGAAGTATAAAAGGCTTGGGCTGGGCCCCCTGTTTCTTAAACCCCTAAAGGCCAAGACAGGCCTTCTGGTCCTAGAATCCCAGACAGAAACATTCCTTAAACACTACTCAAAGTTAAAAGGATTCAAAGGTGGCCAGCAGCACAGATGGGATATTTCAAAACTGATAAATAACTAAAGTTCATTTGGAAACCTCCTCTAAGGAGAGGTGCCCCCACAACTACTCTCTGAAAGGGATTTGGTTCAGGTTAAAGTCTCTACCTTTCTCCAGGACAGTTTGCTTCAACTTAAACACTTGCAGCCCTCCTGCCCTCACTGTAGACCCTTTTAGGATCTTAGATGCCAATTCCGAGCCACAGTTCCTTCCTAACCCTGGTGAGAGCTGTCAGTCTCCCACCCCTCTGCCCAGCAGCACTGTTAGCCACCCACCTGGGGGCTTCCACTTTGCATCCTGTTACTGATTAGGATCAAGGAAGCCCCCCCAAATCCAAATACGTACTTAGCATCTTATCTCGAGGTTGGCTGAAAAATACGTACAGTACTTTTAACTTCTCTCTTGCCCTTTTTTTTTTTCTTTAAATCATGATAAAGTTGGCCAGGTGTGGTGGCTCATGCCCATAATCCTACCACTCTGGGAGGCTGAGGCCAGTGGATTGCCTGAGTTCACAGGTTTGAGACCAGCCTGAGCTAAAGTCAGACCCCCCGTCTCTAAAATTAGCCATGTGTTGTGGACTAGCCAGGCACTGTGACCGGCTCCAGTAGTCCCAGCTGCTTGAGAGGCTGAGGCAAGAGAATCATTTGAGCCCAAGAGTTGGAGGTTGCTGTGAGCCATGACATCACAGCACTCTACCGGGGGTGACAAAATGAGACTGTCTCTAAAAAATAAATAAATAAAAATAAAAATAAATTATGATAAAGTATGCTGGGCATGGTGGCTCACACCTGTAATCCTAGCACTCTGGAAGGCTGCAGTGGGTGGATTGCTTAAGCTCATGAGTTCAAGACCAGCCTGAGCAAGAGTGAGACTCCCAGGCAGTGCCTGTGGCTCAGTGAGTAGGGCACCAGCCCCATATACGGAGGGTGGCGGGTTCAAACCTGGCCCCAGCCGAACTGCAACAACAACAACAAAAACAGCTGGGGGTTTCGGCAGGCACCTGTAGTCCCAGCTGCTCTGGAGGCTGAGGCAAGAGAATTGCTTAAGCCCGGAAGTTGGAGGCTGCTGTGAGCTAGGACGCCACAGCACTCTACCAAGGGTGATAAAGTGAGACTCTGTCTCTACAAAATTAAAAAAAAAAAAAAAGAGTAAGACTCCCCATCTCTACTAAAAATGAAAAACTGAGGGTGGCACCTGTGGCTCAAAGGAGTAGGGCGCCAGTCCCATATGCTGGAGGTGGTGGGTTCAAACCCTGCCCTGGCCAAAAACTGCAAAAAAAGAAAAAAAAAAGAAAAACTAAGGCCAGAGAATCACTTAAGCCCAAGAGTTGGAAGTTGCTGTGAGCTATGATGCCACAGCACTCTACCCAGGGTGGCAAAGTGAAACTCTATCTAAACTCTATCTCAAATAAATAAATGAATAATGACAAAATACATATAACCTAAAACTTACCATTTTAACCATTTTTAAATAAATAATTCAGTAGCATTAACTACATTCTTGTTGTATAACCATCACCACCATCTATCTTCAGAACTTTTCAACACCTCAAACTGAAATTCTATACTCATTAAACAAATTCCATTCCTCTCTCTGCCCTGCCCCTGGCAACCACTGTTCTACTTTCTGTCTTTATGAGTTTCATTATTCTAGTACTTCATGCAAGTGGATTCATACAATATTTTCCCTTTCACATGTGGCTTATTCTACTTAGCATGTTTTCAAAAGTCTTCCATGTGATAGAACTTCATTCTTTCTCAAGGATGAATGATGTCCCACAGTGTGTATATACCACATTTTGTCTATTCACTTATTTGCTGATGGACCTTTGGACTGCTTCCACCTTTTGGCTACTGTGAATAATGCTGCTATGAACATTGGCATACACATATGTGTTAGAGTTCTAGCTTTTCTTTTGGGTATACCCAGAAGTGGAATTGCTGGGTCATATGGTAATTTCATGTTTAATTAAAAATAAGGGTTTTTTGCGTTGGCCTTATTAGAGGTGGAAAAAAGAAAAAAGGGAAGTTTCTGACATCTATGAACTAAACTCTATTGTTATTAGTCTACAATGAATTCATTCATTCAACAAACATTTACTGAGAAACTTCTATGTCCCAGGCAGAGCTAGGCACTAAGAGAAATACATGAAACATAAGTAAACAAAATACATGAGATAATTTCAGGTGGCGATGATTGCTTCAAAGGAGTAAATTGGTGGAAGCAACTTTACATTGGCCATGGAAAGCCTCTGAGCTGAAATTTCAACAGTGGACAGAAGCCAAGCATATGAGATCTGGGGTGGGAGCAAACTGGGCAAAGCAAACACCAAGTGCAAAGCCCTGAGATAGGAAGAGACGTGACTTCCTTCAGATTACTGTCAGAAGTCAGGTTCATGAGGCTGAAACTGGGGGAACAAAGCAAAGTCACAGGAGATGAGATTCCAAGGCCCAAGAATAAGAGCAGAGATAGGAGAGCAGGTTTTCACCTTGACTTTTTTTTTTTGAGACAGTTTCAAGCTGTTGCCCTGGGTAGGGTGGTGTGGCAGCACAGCTCACAGCAACCTCTAACTCTTGGGCTTAAGCGATCCTCTTGCCTCAGCCTCCCAAGTAGCTGGGACTACAGGTGCCCCCTGCAATGCCCAGCTGTAGGCGAAACGCCTATATGCCTATGGCTAAAAGCCGGTTTGAGAGAGAGCAGTGAAAAGATTTTGTGCAGGCATACTTGTGAGAAACTGAGGCAGAATCCCATGTGGCCGGGTTAGTTGCAGGTCTAACATGACCAAGGCTTTGGCTGGAATAGCATTCCAGAGATGTCCAGACAGCGTTAAGGAATTAAGGTTGACTTCAGAAGGCCAATAAAAAAGCCCTTTGGAAAACTGGCCAGATACCCATCAGTAACCTTTCCTGATCTGTGTTAAGTAACAAAGGTCCCTTGCTGACAGGTCCAGGAATGGGAATGTGCTCGGGGACCTCAAGAGAAGAGGAATTTACCCAATGCATACAGGTATCTAAAGGCAACAGATGAAACTTGGGCTCCTGAAAGGCTTTTGAAAAGTCCAGCCTGAACATTCCTTATAAAAGGTTCCAGCAAAACCCCCCTGACTTAAGGCCTACATGGGAGCAGAGGTTTGCACATAAATTTCTGTATACCCAAGAAGTTTCTTTATGCTTTGCTTAAAGATTCAAAGTAACAGCCTCCGCATGGCAAGGTCAACAAGGGCAGGTATTCAATCTACCTCGTTCCTCCATAGCCTCAGGCTTCATTCCTCCATAGCCTCAGGCTTCATCAGATAAGAACAAAGAAGTAATGGCTAACAACAAGTTCTCCATTAAAGTTATGTTAAATTGCGTTATGTTGAAAGGTTTATGTTAAAAGGTGTATGTTGAGTGGATTATCAGATTACTAGGAGCTAATCACGAGGTAGTCACATGATGTTTAAATGGATCAATGAGGGCTGTGCCTGTGGCTCAAAGGAGTAGGGTGCCGGGCCCCAAATGCAGGAGGCAGCGGGTTCAAACCCAGCCCCAGCCAAAAACCTGCAAAATAAATAAATAAATGAATCAATGAGGTCATTGCTGTATTGTGCACCTGTACAAAATTCCCTATATAAACCAACTGCAAATAAAGAAGGTCGCTATTTTGCCTGAGCAAGCAGATGGTCACCTTTATTTAAAACACAATTTCAATAAGCGTGCTTGTTCTCTGCGACATCGCTTTTCTGCGAGACCCTTACGGCAACACCCGGCTATTTTTTGGTTATAGTTGTCATTGTTGTTTGACAGGCCCAGGCTGGATTTGAACCTGCCAGCTCCTGTGTATGTGGCTGGCGCCCCAGCCACTTGAGCTATAGGCACTGAGCTGACATTACATATTTTAAGAGTTTCAAACTGTTTTCTAGAAACCTCCTCCTGATCTTATTTCTCAACCCATTTGTGAAATATGAAACTAACAACTAAAAAACCTAATGGAGGTTAAAGCTCTTTATGTAAAAGAGCAGGACATCCGACAAACTAGACTCCTCTAATTTTCCCACCTCCCCACAGTGAAGAGCCATACCTGAGAAGTACATGCTGAAGCCCCCTACAGAAAGGGGGGTGGTGACAGCATGGACTCTGGGTTCAAATCCTGCTCTGCCACTTACTAATGTAGGGCCTGAATTACTGACATCTCTATGTCTCAGTCTCCTCACATATAACACAGGAATAATGAGGGTTCTGAAGCTAGGTGTGAGAGCTAAAATGAGACATCAGGCAAAAAATACTCAGAACAGTGACGAAATAGTAAAAAAAAAAAAATTAGCAACTATTATTATTTTTTGCCATTTTTGGCGGGGGCTGGGTTTGAACCTGCCACCTCTGGCACATGTGGCTGGCACACTACTCCTTGAGCCACAGGCGAAACCTGGAAACTAAAAAAAAAGAAACCTGGGAACTGCTTGAGGCCAGTGTTCAAGACCAGCCTGACCAACGTAGTGATACCTCCTGTCTCTACAAAAATAAATAAATAAATAAATAAAATAAAATAATTAGCTAAGCATGGTGGTTCCTATCTGTAGCCCATCTACTTGAGAGGCTGAGGTGGGAGGATGGTTTGAGTGCAGGAGTTCCAGGCAGGGCAGTGATCTAAGAGCAGGATACTGCACTCCAGCCTGGGTGACAGAGTGAGACCTTTAGAGAGGAGGAAACAGGCTCAGAAAGCAAACTTGATTAGGGTTATATAGTAATCAAGAGTCAGGATCTGAACTCTGGTTTACCTTTAATTACCTAAAGTCTTCTCTCAGGACTGCACTAAATAAAATCACAATTATCCAGCTCTGTTGCATGTTCCCTCAAGTAAGAAATTTAAAATATAATTCCTTAAGAACCTAAACTGGAAGGAGAGTAATTGGTGGGACCACACCTATGGTGCATCTTACAAAGGTACATGTGACATTTAGTAGGTGTAGAATATAAATGTCTTAACACCATAACTAAGAAAATGCCATGAAGGTTATGTTGGCCAGTTTGATGAAAGCATTTCAAATTGTATGTAAAACCAGCACATTGTACCCCATGATCACATTATGTACACAGCTATGGTTTAATTAAAAAAAAAAAAAAAAAAAAGAAAGCAAGAAAGAAAAGAAAAAAAAGAACCTAAACTGGTGTTTCCAGTCCAGCAACTGACTGAGAGCTCGCATCTGTGCTGACTTCAGCTGACCAGAGGGTCACTTAACTTCTGGAACCTTGAAATACAGGCACCAGATCAAGAACTTTACAATGCAAGATTTGTATTGTAATGCGTGACAGATTGCGACCAGCTAGAAGAGCTCATCCCCCACTGGGACACGCGCCCAAAGTAGAGCCACCGCAAGTGCAGTGGTTAGAAGCGCGGACTTAGAGAAGCAGGGCTCTGCCAATAAGTAAACTCCTCCCTTTGAGCCTCACTTTCCCCATCTGTAAAATGGGGGAAACGCCAGCACTCAACGTGCCGCTTTGTTGGAGCAAGGTGAAGGGCAGTACTTAAAATGGAAATGCCTGAGAAAAGTGCTCAACAGAGAGCGGTTATATCCGCAATAAGCCTTCGCTTCTGTGCCAAGGCCACAGGCCACCACCACTACACCGGCTGTGTCTACGAACGGCGCGGTACTGCCGCCGCCGCCCAACCCAGGCCAGGCGCTAACCCGGTGCCCTCCCGTCACTCCGGCTTCACAGAGGCTCGGCAGACAGCGAGGAAACGGGGCACCGCGGAGCCCTCGACCGGCGCCAGCACGCTCACCTACCGGAATGGATCCCGCGCACGTTTTCAGCGGCGCCTCGCTCCCACGTTGCCGCGGGTCCGACCAAAGTCCCGGACGCCCGGAACAGCCGACTCGCACCCGCCTCGCACCCGCCACGCGCTCACAGCCTGAACCACCCAGCCAACCCCGAACCCCGAACTTGGCGCTCAAAGGCTCGCGCCCACTCCAGCACTCCGCGCCGGGAACCCCCCGCCTGGCCCCGCCCCCGAGAGCGGCCAATCAGAGTGCGCGACAGGGCGGGTCCCGCCCCCAAATGCGCGGGCGCTATTGGCTGCAGCTGAGGGTCCGACCTGGGTCCTCCCTCGCAGGGGATCTGTAGCCCGGTGCAGCTGCTCCCCTAGGGACAGGACCTGCTGCGGTCGATTGGCTTTGTCTGCTGGCCAGGTTTGGGGGAGGACGCGGGGAGTTCCAGGACGACAGCTGCGGGCCCGCCCGGTTAATTCGGGTAGGCCGCTTGGCCTTGGGCCTATAGGTGAATGTCGGTACTTAGGTTTAACCTTGAGGTGGTCCTACTTCCAGTTAGCACGTTGGTTACTTTCGTAGGACAAACGTGGGTTCAAACCACAGCATTATTACTCTGTCAATATGAAACACCAGACCAGTCACTTCATTTTGTGACTTTTACGTTTCTCGTCACTGAATTGGAAACATTTATATCTGCTCGGCTCAGCTGTCATAATAGACACCAAGCATTGTGCTTGGTGCATAAAAAGGACTCCATACATTTTTATTTATTTATTTATTTAGAGACACAGTCTCACTATGTCGCCCTGGGTAGAGTGCTGTGGTGGCACAGCTCACAGCAACCTCAGACTCTTGGGCTTAAGCGATTCTCTTGCCTCAGCCTCCCAAGTAGCTGGTACTACAGGCACCAGGCATCCGCTACAACGCCTATTTTTTGGTTGTAGTTGTCATTATTGTTTGGCAGGCCCAGGCTGGGCTCGAATCCACCACCTTCGGTGTTTGTGGTTGGCTCTTTAGCTACTGAGCTGCAGGCGCTGAGCCTGGACCCCGTAAATATTAACTATTGGCGCCTGTGGCTCAGTGGGTAGGGCGCTGACCACATATACCGATGGTGGTGGGTTAGAACCCAGCCCCGGCCAAACTGCAACAAAAAAATAGCCGGGCCTTGAGGCGGGCACCTATGTTCCAGCTACTCCAGAGGCTGAAGCAAGAGAATCGCCTAGCCCAAGAGGGGGAGGTTGCAGTGAGCTGTGACGTCATAGTACTCTATTGAAGGTGACATAGGCTCTGTCTCAAAAAAAAAAAAAAATTAGCTGAGCGTATTGGCACGCACCTATAGTTCTAGCTACTGCAGAAGCTAAGGCAGGAGGATCTCTTGAGTCCAGGAGTTCCAGGCAGCAATGAGCTATCATTGCATCACTGCACTCCAGCATGGGCAACAGAGAGAGACCACTGCTCTAGAAAATAAATAAATAAATAAGAATAATACAAATTAAGGGGCTACATGTTATAGGGGAAAGAGCCCAGACACATGCCCCTGCTCTAGCAAATAATGTGATCTTTGGTAAATCGTCCTCAGCACTTTGTAACTCTCACAATATTCAGCAAATTTTCAGAATGTTGAAGTAAATGTGGCTAGTATAACAGTTAATGCAAAACATTCAAAACATTCAGACATGTACAGTGAAAGACCAGGAGAGAGCAAGGATCCTTATGAAGTTTAGATAAATTCTACGGTGACAGGGGTAGTGGAAAGCAAGGCAGGGAGGGGTGTTCTGCAATTGCGCAAGCATGATTGGCCCATTCTGTCCTTTGTTTCATCCCTGACACCAGCATGTCTCTTTGCCTTTTCCCTATTCAGCAAAACTTAAAAACAAACAAACAAAAAAACCTTAAAACTCCACTGTCATTACTCTTGCATGTTACCATGTGAAAGTATTATTCTCAGAAAAATAATAAAAGGTTAAAAATTTGAAATAGACCAGGCAGTGCCTGTGGCTTAGGGTGCCGGCCCCATATACAGAGGGTGGCAGGTTCAAACCCAGCCCAGCCAAACTGCAATTAAAATATATGTGCGTGTGTGTGTGTGTATTTAAAAAACTAATTTTTGGCTCAGCGCCTGTGGCTCAAGCGGCCAGGGCGCCAGCCACATATACCTAAGGTGGCGGGTTAGAATCCAGCCCGGGCCCACCAAACAACAATAATGGCTGCAACCAAAAAATAGCCGGGTGTTGTGGCGGGCGCCTGTGGTCCCAGCTACTTGGGAGGCTGAGGCAGGAGACTCGCTTGAGCCCAGGAGTTGGAGGTTGCTGTGAGCAGTGAAGCCATGGCACTCTGCCCAGGGGGACAGCTTGAGGCTCTGTCTCAAAAAAAAAAAAAAAAAAAAACTAATTTGAGGCTGGGCGCCTGTGGCTCAAGTGGCTAAGGTGCCAGCCACATACACCTAAGGTAGCAGGTTCGAATCCAGTCTGGGCCCGCCAAACAACAATGATGGCTGCAACCAAAAACAATAGCCAGGCGTTGTGACAGGCGCCTGTGGACCCAGCTACTTGGGAGGCAGAGGCAGGAGACTCGCTTGAGCCCAGGTGTTGGAGGTTGCTGTGAGTTGTGATGACAGCTTGACGCTCTGTCTCCAAAAACAAAAAAATACTAATTTGAAATAGACCTCCATTTCCAGTGAAGATGTAGTACAAAAGACTGGACCTACTTTGATAAACAACTAGAAAACTATACAAAACACAGTGTGCAGACATTGGACCAAAGGGCAGCATAAGACTAGGAAAACAAACAAACCAGGTGAGTTCTATGACATCCCTAGCTGGATACTTAGAGACTACTGATGGATGGTAGGTGCAGGGAAGGGGCTCATGCCAAGGATGGTGGTCTCAGGGAGACTAGGAAGTGAACATGAGGGCTGGGAAGTCTGTGAGAGCTGGAAGCTATGGGACATCATTCCAGAAAGGAGAGTGTCTGCAGAAAATGAGCTCTGGAAATCTGTGAGAAGTCCCTCTGAGTGTTTGCTAAGTATGTGGCTAGGCACATGTAGAATGAAACTCCACAAAGCTGGCCATTGGGCAACCAATGATTTGTAAGCTGAAAAATTCCCAGACTTTACACAGGCCCTGAAGATGTTTAATCTCTGATGACCCAAGATAGGTCCCTTAGTGATAACCAGGGTCTTACGGTGGGAACCTGAGGGAGCATGCCTTAGTAGTAAGTTCATTCCATGCCTGGAATGAAGGCTGCCCTACATCTGCCTTTGCAAAACTGTAAAACAGGCCCCAGACAGAAATCAGCAAAGATATAGGACTCAACCCCACCATCACCCAACAAGATCTAATCAAGATTTAACAGACACTCCACCCAACCGTAGCAGAACACAACTACTAATCAAGCAACAGAGGAATATGTACCAAGAAAGACCATATCCTGGGCCATAAGACTAACTTCAGGCCATGCATGGTGGCTCATGCTTATAATTCTAGCACTCTGGAAAGCTGATGTGGGAGAATTGCTTGAGCTAAAAAGTTCAAGACCAGCCTGAACAAGAGAGAGATCCCCATCTCTACTTGGGAAGCTGAGGCAAGAGAATTCCTTAAGCCTAAGAGTTTGAGGCTGCTGTGAGCTGTGATGCCACCGCACTCTACCAAGGATGACATAGTGAAACTCTGTCTCAAAAAAAAAAGCTACAAACTGGGAGAAAATACGTGCAACCCACATATCTGACAAAGGACTCATATCTAGAATGCATAAAGCTCTTTCAAAATTAAACAGTAAAAAAATCCTAAGAGAGGCTTGATTTTGGTTTTTTGCAGTTTTTGGCTGGGGCTGAGTTTGAACCCTCCACCTCCGGCATAGGGGGCCAGAGCCTTACTCCTTTGAGCCACAGAAACTTGATGTTTTTTTTTTTTTTTTTGAGACGGAACCTCAA